TAGCCGTCATTAAGTACGGCTAGCCTCTTCCATTGTTTATAGATCTAGCCTAAGTACAGTCAAACCTGCCTTAACGGAAACCTATAACGGAAACCTGTCATAATGGAATCTGCCTGCTCCCCCCTTGATATATTCCTCTATTACCTGTATAGAATGGAAACCAGTCCTTTGAGGAAATGGAAAGAAAACCCAGCTCCCTTCCAAGGGTTTTACCCGTCTAAGACGGAAAATACTTTGCCTGTTCAGTCCTGATTTGAAACTAAACTCACAAGTTTGGTTCTGTCTGCCGGCTCTAAACTTAACGCCATGCTGCGGGGCGAGGATGGGAAGATTGGGTGCAATTTGAGGGTAGATGTTACCCCGTCTATGTGAGCCCTGAGTAACAAAGATGGTCAGGGTTGTGTGGGTGTGAAATCTCAGGAGTGCCAGTGATAGTGTTCGAGTGGCATTCCAGCAAGAAACTTGTATTGGTAGCCAAAGGCCAGAGGTGTGAAATTAGTTTGACAAATATATGCTTGACACCCTGATGGTACAGTCAGCCAAGAAAAAGAGTTCCTTGAATCATTGTTACATGGCATTGGGGGTTGGCATTGGTTGACCGTGCTTTTACACTAATGGATGGGGCTAGGGGTGGAAGCAAAGGAGATGTGGTCCTATGAAATGCAAACACTGATGTTAATTGAATAAGACTGATGCACGTGACATATCAGAAAGGATAACAGCTGAGAGGTGTGAAGTTTTGACCAATTGCGATTGCTTGTTGACCTGACAAACGACCCTTGATCCCCCCTTCCATCTCCCCACTTAATTCCCCTGTCTAAGACGGAAAATGTCTAGGGTGGAATTTTTTTCTGGCTCCCTTGCGATTCTGTCTTACGTAGGTTCGACTGTTAGAAGTATGTATAATTTCTCTCCCTGAATTTATTATCATACACTGACTGGCAAAAATATGATATATATGGTTCTGGGCCTCTTAGTTTTACGGTCACTTTTACTTAAAAGTCATATATTTTTTAGTTTTTAAGTGACATTTAAGGGTCTGAATTAAATTTATGGCTTTTTGTCTGCAATCCCCTCCTCAAAACCCTGTACAGTTATAATCTTTCATCTATCCCTAGCAGTGAGTGTTCCTTACTCTTGAATCTTGACATCTACCCTCTTTTGTGAATGATTAGAATTATATGAGAATAGGTCTTGAAATAATAGATACCCCTGACACCATCACCCAGGGGGTTGACCTAACTGACTGTCTTCTCCTCCACCACTTTTCCTCTCACATGTTATATATTGTAGTATTCCACTATGGCCTTTTTTAAATAGGTCTTGACAGACGATCTTAAAGCAGCTCGCGTTGTACAGCTTTGCCTGGGTGTGATAGAGGGAGATTTCCCACTATGACTATGGTACTAGTACTTCAATGGTGTCCACTTAACAGTCATCCAGATCAGGGCAACCTCCGCCTAACAAGCAGAGCTAAAGAAAAATTACAGAATAACTACCCTTATTAGGAACCTTTTTCTCTAACAGCAGCCTATGTTGCTATGAAAATTGTGTGACTAAAATACACAAAATTGACCATCCAAAACTAGAGAGATCACACTGAGACTGGTGGTCTTTAAGCTCAGTGTGCCTGCATCCCTCCTTTCTTATTTATCTCCTCACAATTGAATAAGTTACACTTACATTGAGAACACTTACTCGAGCGAAAATCACAGGAGAAGTCCAGTTCACAACACTATGTAGCAAAGAGTCGTATGATCTTTCAAGAGTCCCCGGGGTAGGGAGAAAAAGTCTGAGCCATTGTACGGTTACTCCCCCAGTGACAGGGCATTGGCTAACTTGAAAGGAGAAGCTCTAATTGAACCTCAGCCATTTATGCTGTCTATTTTCTCACTTTCTGACATAACAGCATCATCACAACTTGTAGTTAGGACTAGTGTGGGTGAGGTTGGGGGGGGGGGGGGAGGGGTACAAATTACACCACCGCGGATGGTTGGCGGGTGCTCTCGTGAGGTTTGCTTGAATTCTTTTGTACACACATCTGTCGTCCTGACCTCTCCTCCTTTTTCGTGCTTGTTACTCTATTGTAACACCTCTAATCTTCGGTACTTATATATGACCTTATAGTATTGCAAGTGCTGTAAAACTCTTACTAAAACTGAACAAACCCCTCCCCCCCCTCCCATTTTGGAAATTCAGTTTCCAGTGACCTCTGTACCAAGGTTTGCTCTGTGGGGAGGTTGCTGTTAGGTGTACATCAAAGTACTTTCTTCCCTTCAGATCTTGATTTAAGGGTGTGTCTTATATTTTATGCATGTAATTATGTACAGTAATATGGATTCTTTGTGGATGGGAGATGTTTAAATTTTGCTGCTGTCATCATCATTATAATTGCCTTTCTCACTCTATATTGGGGTATAAGGCCTCGAACAAACACTTTCCACATTTCCCTATCCTGGGCTAGCCTCTTATGTTATTCCATGTCTTCCCACTTTTCTGTCCTTCAATATCTGTGATTCTTCTCCTGGTTCCACTCGGTCTTCCCCTTGTTTTATTACCCTGTGGATTCCGATCAAACACTTTTTTTTATTATACAGTTGCCTAACTTCCTGAGAGTATGTCCAATCCATCGCCACCACCTTCTTCCTACCTCATCTCTGACAAGGATCTGTCATGTTTTCCTCAACACTTCCTTGTTGGTGACCCTGTCTGTCCTTCTGACCCTCAGTAACTTTCTTAGACATTTGTTCAAGAAAACCTAGATACTCTATGCAATTTTGTGATGCGTTCCATGTTTGCTGCTGTATCC